TTTTCAGTTGCAGCCTGTAATGCAGGGCCATTTTTGGGCAGGAACGCACAGGAACGGAGTTCCAGCTGGCTCCTGAGTTGGCCACGCCCAGCAGGAACTCATTAGCATAATAGGCCACACCCAACAGCAGAAACTCATAAGGATTGGCTACATTAGGGGTGTGTGGCCTAACATGCAAAGGAGTTCCTGCTACAAAAAAAGGCCCTGGGTTTTGACAACAAACAAGGTAAACAGAATAAGAAGGGAAAGGTGGGTGTGGCTGGGTGACCACACTTCTAGTAACATGGGGTGTAGCCTAATGTGCTAATGAGCAGTGCTGTCAGGGGTGTGGCCTAATATGCTAATGAGTTTTGTTGTTGGGTGTGGCCTATTATGCTAATGAGTTCCCGCTGGGCTTTTTCTACAAAAAGAGCCCTGCTGTAATGTATCCAGTTTCCTGTGAGGATGGCCAGATAATACACCGGCATATTGACTAATTACGCCGCCAGACACTGCCGCTGGAACCCGAGGACTTTGAAATTCTGGACGCCCCGGATACCACAGCACTCCCACAACCGTCCACCCCAACGATGACGCCTGCCACAGAACTCGTACACCTCCCCTTGGGCGCACCCGCGTGGCCGGCTTGGGCTCCATGCGGTCAAGTGCAAACGTCGAGCTTCACTCAGGGAAACAATGGACTAAGCGGATCCTAGCCCACGCCTATCCGAGGGCTAGGTTCCCGGCCGAGAGCCTATGGAACTCTCAGCCACTGTAAATAACCTATTGGGATGTGGGGGGTGGGTTCTGGGTGGTGGTTTCACGGGGAATATAAGCCGGCCTGCGAGCCAGCTAAGGTTGTCTTGTTCTTCACTAATAAAAGTACGTTAGCTGAAATCACTCGTCTGTCTGCGTACTTTTCACAGCCCCTACTCTTTTCGGAACAGGCTTCCAAAAGGGGGATAGAAGGTCACTTTTCGCAGCTGCCCTGTGTTATTTAGAAGGCGCCTGGATGGAGTTTAACATTCAGTGGTGGAACTTGGGCTGGGGGGCCCTGGTGGAGTTTGATGACGATGTCTTACGTATGTGGCACTTCTGAGTTGTTGCCTGTAGGAATCTGAATGTTTTCATGGACATATGGCCTGTTTGGGATATGGGAGCTGCCTTGAGCCCCTTGGGGGGGGTTTTAAAAATATTTCAATAAAGTGTGTGTGTGAAGTGCCGTCAAGGAGGGTGCAGCCCTTGAATTCAACATGGTTAGACTTATGGACCATCTCAGTTATGCTGAAGATCACCAGAACCAATTTTATGTGTATCACCCTACCTATTTCCAAAACAGCAGCTGACTTACAGGGACCCCAGCAAGGGGCTTTCAAGGCAAGTGAAAAGCAGAGGTGGTTTGCCATTGCCTTCCTCTGCAGAGCCTTCCTTGGTGGTCTCCCTTCCAAATACTAACCCTGCTTAGTTTCCAACACATAACGATCCCAGCAAGGGGCTTTCAAGGCAAGTGAGAAGCAGAGGTGGTTTGCCATTCCCTTCCTCTGCAGAGCCTTCCTTGGTAGCTTCTCATCCAAGTACCAACCCTGCTCAGCTTCTGAGATGTGATGAGATCGGGCTGCGGACCATGCCGCCTTCCCTCCCCAGCATTCCATGGTACATTGCAAAAAGAAAACTTTTCTCTGTGTTATTTTTGACCTTCCCTCTGTTCTGTATATTGGCAGACTTGTGATTATTTTTTTTAAGCATTTCCCACTCACTTCTTTTCGAATAACATCTCCTTGCCTACGGGCTAAGGTTTTGTCGAATAGAACACGGTTGCACTGCAGGGGTTGCAAGGAGAGGTAGCCATTCCAGCTCCCACACCAGCTTCCAGCAAAGTGTCTGGGAGGGGCTGAGGACCTTTCTTTTCCCACACACATTGGCAAGGGGAGTCATGCAGAGAAGCTGCCAGAGAACTGGGCTCCTCGACATGCTTAATGGAATCACCAAGTGGTTATTAGACGGGCTGGGGGGAAAAACCATTTTGCCATGTCCAAGCTTGCATGTTTTTCTGTAGGCCTCCCCCTCCCCCCGCCAGCCAAAATACTGCAAAACTCTTTGACTCCTTCCCAGCCAATGAAAGGAAATGTCCAGGGAGATATCCTAGAAAGAACAAGGGATTTCATTGTGAAATTGAAAGCCCCCTAACAGTGTCTCCATTTGTCACAGTGGAAAAGATCAGTTCTGCAGAACTATGTAGCTTCCATGCATGTTGACAGCAATGGAGGAAGGAGGAGGAGGAGGAGGTTGGATTTATACCCCACCCTCCAGCACACAAAGGAGAGCAGCTTACAATCTCCTTTCCCTTCCCCTCCCTACCACAGGCACCCTGTGAGGTAGGTGGGTCTGAGAGAGCTCTGAGAGAACTGTCCTTGAGAGAACAGCTCTGAAAGGACTTGTGACTGGCCCAAGGTCACGCCAGCAGCTGCCTGTGGAGGAGTGGGGAATCAAGCCCGGTTCTCCCAGATTAGAGTCCACGCTCCTAACCACTACACCAAACTGGCACTCAATGGAGACCATTGATGTTGTTCAGACAATGGAGTGTTACAGCTGGGCTTTGGAGAGATTTTGATGTTCCAATTCAGGCCCGGGACAGAACTACATGAGAGGGGCTGTGGCTCAGCGGAAGAGCTTCTGCTTCGCACACAGAAGGTCCCTGGTTCGATTCCTGGTGTCTCCCATTAAAAGGATCAAGCAGTACCTGATGTGAAAGACCTCTGCCTGAGACCCTGGAGAGACAGCAGGCTGCCGATAAAAATGGCATTTGCACACACACAAACACATGAAACTGCCTTACACCGAATCAGGCCCTCGGTCCATCAAGGTCAGTATTCTCAGCTCAGACTGGCTCTCCAGGATCTCAGGCAGAGGTCTGTCACATCGCCTACACCCTAGTCCTTCCAACTGGAGATGCCGGGGACTGAACCTGGGACCTTCTGCAGTCCAAGCAGATGCTCTTCCACTGAGCCACAGCACCTCCCCTCTCCTTCCTTCTTCATTCCCCCCCAAAAAACATGCAGTAAACCTGATCTGGCACCATGACGTTGTGTATTCCCATCAGCAACTGATGATGTGAAGGAGAGCAAAGAAACAATGGCATGTTGATTTATAAAATCATGTTGGTTTATAAGTCATGCACGGAGTGGAGAAAGTGGGTAGAGAAAGCTTTTCTCCCTTTCTCACAAGACAAGAACTCGTGGGGCACTCCATGAAATTGCTGAGCAGTCGGGTTAGAACGGATAAAAGGAAGTCCTTCTTCACCCAAAGAGTGATTAACACATGGAATTCACTGCCACAGGAGGTGGCGGCAGCTACAAGCATGGACGGCTTCAAGAGGGGATTGGATAAGCATATGGAGCAGAGGTCCATCAGTGGCTATTAGCCACAAGGTATAGATAGGGGCTCTGGGGCAAGTGATGCTCTGTATTCTTGGTGCTTGGGGGGGGGCAACAGTGGGAGGGCTCCTAGTGTCCTGGCCCCACTGCTGGACCTCCTGATGGCACCTGGTATTTTGGCCACTGTGTGACACAGAGTGTTGGACTGGATGGGCCTTTGGCCTGATCCAACATTGGCTTCTCTTATCTTCTTATGTTTATGTTGTCTCCCCCCTCCCCCCTCTCCCATAATACAAGAATTTGGGGACACCCAACGAAGCTGTTAGAAAATGGGTACAGGACAGAGAAAAGGAAATAATTCTTTACTTTAAAAAAAATTAAATTACTTCTTTGCTTGACGAATAATGATGGAATTCACTGTCACAGGGAATAGTGATGGTTACAAACATTGATGGCTCTGAGAGGGACAGGTTCATAGAGGAGAGGTCCATCAATGTCTACTTTTCCAGATGCAGGGAATCTTCCTTTCTTTACACGAAGAGAAAACGTGCAATTCTCCGTGAGCATAAGAAAGCAAAAATAGTACAAAGAACGCTGCCCCACATGATTTCCTTGCCTATCTAGATAAATATTTATTTATTTATACCAGCTTTTATTCCACCCTCCCCACAAGTGGGCTCAGGGTGGATCACAACAACGATACACAATAATTCAGTAGTTAAAACAGTGTTTGTCAAGATTCCTGCTTTGGACAATGGCTAACCAGATGTTCAGAAGGCCCACAAGAAGGGCACACAGAAGCAAAGGTCTCCCCCTGTTCTGTCCCCCTCCCCCAGCAACTGACATTCTGAGGTATACTGCCTATGAATATGGAAGCTCCATCTAACCATCACTCAAGCATCTTTAAAAGGATTTAGATTCCTGGAGAATACCGATGGTTAAACGAGGGATGGTTAGTGGCCACCACATCCTGTGGCAGTGAGTTCACTGAGCAAATAAGTGCCTTTCACTCCTTCCTTTGTGAAATAGGAATACGACCACATAGTTTACAGAGTAGATGAGAGACGGAACAGACTGTGAAATTGTCTTGGCCTTGCAAGTTCTCGGTGAACTATTACAACAGCTCCTCCTCGTTTTCTTCTTCAAACAGGAGAAAATGAGGATTAGAAAGGGCCCCCCGTGGGATTTAAAAAGCCACCTGATGATGGCAAATAGCTTTGGTGACGCAGCAGAAGCCTCGTAGGATCCATCTGTGATTCGGCTTCCTATTGTTGCCGCTTCCACAGGAACCTGTTTTTAGGCACCAAGATAGCAGGCGGCACCAGAAAGAAAAGCAAAATCATAACTGGTGAGTAATGAGAAAGGAGGTGCTATTTTTAATCTCAGCCCCACAGCGTGCCGGTGCTGATGGGAAACTCGTTGTGGCTTTTCTTTCCTCAAGAAAGGCTTGCGTTATTAGCCGCATGTGTGGGTGCATTTCTACTCAGGTTGGAGTGGCACTGACAATTGGGACTCATGGGGTCCTTGAGAGGCCGTGTCAATAGCGTCTTGGCGGGTGGCCTCCCAGCCTTCATTCTTGGGGTGCCATTTCATATGGATGTAGGTGGTGGGAGGGGGCGCGCCCTGAGTCCCAAGTGAACTCAAGGTTCTAATGGAAGAAGAAGAAACGGTATTTTAAAAGCACAAGTTGCTGTTCTTTCGCTTAAAAAGTACCACACACTAACAGCATCTTTTGAGCCCAGTGGGGCACCTTTAAGACCACCAAAAGTTTATTCAAGCTACGAGCTTTCGTGTGCATGCACACTTCCTCAGAGACAGTGAAATAGAAGTTAACCGTTCACATATATGGGCATCTTTAAAAGGATTTAGATTCCTGGATAATATTGATGGCTACGAGTGATGGTTAGTGGCCACCACATCCTGTGGCAGTGAGTTCACTGAGCAAATAAGTGCCTTTCACTCCTTCCTCCGTGAAACAGGAAAACGACCACACAGTTTACAGAGTAGATGAGAGACGGAACAGACTGTGAAATTGTCTTGGCCTTGCAAGTTCTCGGTGAACTATTACAACAGCTCCTCCTCGTTTTCTTCTTCAAACAGGAGAAAATGAGGATTAGAAAGGGCCCCCCGTGGGATTTTAAAAGCCACCTGATGATGGCAAATAGCTTTGGTGACGCAGAAGAAGCCTTGCAGGATCCATCTGTAATTCGGCTTCCTATTGTTGCCGCTTCCACAGGAACCTGTTTTCAGGCACCAAGATAGCTGGCGGCACCAGAAAGAAAAGCAAAATCATAACTGGTGAGTAATGAGAAAGGAGGTGCTATTTTTAATCTCAGCCCCACAGCGTGCCGGTGCTGATGGGAAACTCGTTGTGGCTTTTCTTTCCCCAAGAAAGGCTTGCCTTATTAGCCGCATGTGTGGGTGCATTTCTACTCAGGTTGGAGTGGCACTGACAATTGGGACTCATGGGGTCCTTGAGAGGCCGTGTCAATAGCGTCTTGGCGGGTGGCCTCCCAGCCTTCATTCTTGGGGTGCCATTTCATATGGATGTAGGTGGTGGGAGGGGGCGCGCCCTGAGTCCCAAGTGAACTCAAGGTTCTAATGGAAGAAGAAGAAACGGTATTTTAAAAGCACAAGTTGCTGTTCTTTTGCTTAAAAAGTACCACACACGAACAGTGCCTTTAAGACCAACAAAAGTTTATTCAAGATACGAGTTTTCGTGGGCATGCACACTTCCTCAGAGACAGTGAAATGGAAGTTAACCGTTCACATATATAGGCATCTTTAAAAGGATTTAGATTCCTGGATAATATTGATGGCTACATGAGTGATGGTTAGTGGCCACCACATCCTGTGGCAGTGCTGGAAATGATGTCACCACATACAAACTGTTAACTTCCATTTCACTGTATCTGAGGAAGTGTGTGCGCACATGAAAGCTCATACATAAGAACATAAGAACATAAGAGACGCCAATGTTGGATCAGGCCAAAGGCCCATCCAGTCCAACACTCTGTGTCACACAGTGGCCAGAAATACCAGTGCCATCAGGAGGTCCAGCAGTGGGGCCAGGACATTAGAAGCCCTCCCACTGTTGACCCCCCCAAGCACCAAGAAGACAGAGCATCACTTGCCCCAGAGCCCCTAGCTATACCTTGTGGCTAATAGCCACTGATGGACCTCTGCTCCATATGCTTATCTAATTCCCTTTTGAAGCCATCCATGCTTGTAGCACCCACCACTTCCTGTGGCAAGCATCTTTGTTAGTGACACAGATTTTTCACTAGTGGCACCAGGACTGCAGAATGGCCTCCTACGAGCAACGTAGTTGTGCAGCACGGCTGCTCACAATCAGGCCTTTAATCTGCCCATGTGGCATTTGTTTGGCCTTCTAGCCACATGGGTTCAGACTAAGTCACTGTCTGCCCACTGCCCTTGGGAGGTCTGCTGTCTCCCTTCAGCAGTTTGCAAAAGATTCTGAAGTGGGGCAACAAAAGCCATTAGGCTGTATTCTAATGCCACAGAGCATTTCAGCACAGAGCTGGGGTCTCCAACAGTCAGCCCATGAACTAGTGGGAAGGTTACCAAAATGGCTGCCAGCCAGGGGAGCAAAAGGGAGGAAAATAATCTCTCGGGTTCGTGAACCTGGGTTCATGTTGGATCAACATCTACCAGTTATCCCAAGCCCAAAGGGTGTCCACTGAGCCTCAACAAGGGCCAGGGCCTGATGGAACATGCTCCCACTTGAGATCAGGGCATTGCGAGACCTATTACAGTTCTGCAGGGCCTATAAGACGGAGCTGTTCTGCCGGGCTCTTGGTTGAGGAAGTGGATACCCAATTAGTCGGCCTCACTGCTTAGAAGTTGTTGTGGCCATCTGCCCTATCTGGAGCCCTGGTATTATGTGAGCTTACTGTGACTCCAGTTACCATCAGTCCGTCTTATGGGGGGGTCTGAACTGTGATATTTAATTTGACATCTTTTTATTGTTTTATGGTCTTAGCTGTTTTAATTATAGTCATTGGTCTTAAATTGTTCATGCACTTTGTTGTAACCCGCCCTGAGCCCGTTTTGGGAAGAG